GTTTTGCTTTCTCTTAGTTGACATAATGTTTTTATACAGGAAGTGACGGCGTCGGAGGCAGATACGTTGAAGTCAATGTTAAAAATTCCTGGACAAACGTTGGCGTAGCATCCCTGAAGCTGTGTGTGCATGGTCCCCCTGTCAGCTAACAAACCGATATGTACAGATGTCGCACAGCATGTGCGCCCAACGAAGACAACGAAGGAAGCTTCCATAAAGTCTCTATAAAGAATGTTCCACTGGTCCATGTTTACTTGAGGAATTGGAAAGGTTGCAACTTTCATTTGATTGCGTTCTGACTTGCCATAGATATTCGACTCGACATTCATCTTCTGAATAAAAAATGTTGTGGGATCGTACATTTTAATTTTGCGCTTCCAAAACGATTCTCTTTTCCTTATCTCCGAAGCTGAGGTCATGCTGAGATCTTCTGGGAGAGTTTCAAGTGTGGAACCCTCAAAGATTGCATAGGATTTTAGATTTTCTGATGTTACAGGACTTCCGTCCAGTTCCGCCAAGGTCAGTTTGATGTCGTCTGTGTTTGTCCCCACGACGACTGTTATGCCGGCCACTTGGCCAACCAGGCCGGGACATTTCCGCCCGGCTCTCACAGCTGTTTTTTCTTTAGGGATGTTCTGCTGAACAATATCTGCACCGATGACCAACAGAATATGGCCAGTGATAGTGCAAATTTTGGGACTTCCCAGCTGGTTGGCTTGAGGTCCGAACTGGAGAGCTCGAATATTATTGTACACACACCGAACGTCCGAGTGGAAGTTCAATACCCCCAAATTAGGCGGAACATCGTAGAGACCAAAGTAAGATCTCTTCTCCAAATCCTGAGCTGTCCTTGTTACTCTATCAGCCATAACGTCGGCGACAAGTCGATGAAAAGACTCTATGCAGGCTTCGAAGCACTTTAGATTTAGCATCAAAGCTGAATCGTCAGGCTCGATCTGAAAAAAGAATACATTATCATTATAGCGCGCTTCGTCACTATACAAATGGATGCCTTGCATTTATAATGTCGTCATGCTGACGGGAACTGAGGAAAAGCCAACATAAAAAGAACCCGCAGTACATTGTGCGTTCAAACCAAAGACATCGAACTGCCCTACCACACTGGCTACTTGTACCGACTCCGATTATGTCGACAAATCACCCAACCAGACAAAACAAAAGCCGTCTTTTCTTACTTGTTCGAACGTGTAGAGTTGGAAAACATGAATTTGAATTCTTTTAATTGTATATGAACTGTATGAAGATTAGATGTAAAGTCGAGCGTTGAATGAAATACAAGGCAGTAAAATCCCATATTAGAAACAAGTGAAAGTGAAATGAAAATAGTTACGAAAGCAGAACTGGTTTTTATTGTTGGATTGTCCCGTCAGCAACGGGGATACTCAACAGAATAGACTTTCCCACACTAGAACAGAACTCTTGTCCTACCCTCGCAAAAGAAAAGAGCCTGAACATTACACCCCAAACACCGATGTAAAAGAATACCCCCCCCCCCACAAACAAGCAAACAATAACAAAAAACAATAAATAAACAAACGAAACAACAACTGACAAGACGGAGTATGTGATCCACGGGTAAGAATAAAGACAGTGACTCATTGGAGCAGAGGAAGATAGGACTAACGCTAACATTACTTAAACGAAATCCCTCAGCATCACTCATCACCATTATTATTTCAAAAATCATCACCTCTCTCAGATCAATGACTTACATCTATAATCCTGGAATCTCTATCTGCTATTACAGTTAATTGTTATACTAAGTGTGCACGTAATACACTTTTGGACACTATCATACGCACTTTTTCTTTCTAATTCTAATCAGATGGCGTCAATCTCATATAAATGGGCAAGGGAAAAATAAAGACAGAGTGGAATGGCTAGGCCTAAGGCAAGAAGGTAGAGAGGAAAATATATTTTAGAAATAATGCGCATGCGAGGACAGAATATTTCTGTGTTTCGAAATCAAAAGTGTGAAGAGATCGCTCGGTCACAAAAGCGTTAATGCAGGATAGGTAGCCGACTATAACAAAAAAAACCAACGTTACATTCTTTTTAAAGATAAGACTAATATATCTTTTGATGACGTCACTGACCTGAACCGACTGCGCCTGGAGAATGTCGCCTGTGTCAATGCCCGGCTCCACAATGTGCCAGCTGATGCCATGAGTAGTCTCCCCTCGCAGCAGGGCCCAACAGGTGGCGTTGACCCCTGCCAAATATAGTCATGATAAATAATTCATAATTTAGTTAATGTGGTACATGTCTATTGCTGCTGTTTTCTTTTCTTTGTTACTGGTGATGAGGATTATCAAAACAACGTTGCCCACGGGGACGTCAGTGATGATTATGATGATGATGATGATGATGATGATGATGATGATGATGATGATGATGATGATGCTGCTGCTGAAGATAATGATGATGATGATGATGATGATGATGATGATGGTGATGATGATGATGATGATGATGATGA